TACCTACCATATATGAGATACCTTTTATGCATCAGGCATTGTGCTAAGCACTTTCAATGTGTTATTAAAAATCTATACTGCCCTGGCTAGCGTGGCTCTGTGGGTTGAACATGGGCCTGTGAACCAGAGGGTCACCAGTTCTGTTTCCAGTCCAGGGTTCATGCCTGGGTTGTAGGCCAGGTCCTTAGTGGGGGGCACATGAAAGGCGACTGCACATTGGCGTTTCTCTCCCTCTCTTTCTCCTTCCCTTCCCCTCTCTCTAAAAATAAATAAATAAAATCTTTTTAAAAATCTACAGCTGCTCTGAGAGCTGTAAACATGATAGTATATTCCAACACAAATATAATATTTAATCCCAACATAGGTGTACGTCCATCAATGTATTGACTGATTATCAAGAAGGCTGGTAAAAGTGTATACCCAATTCAATCAGGCACCTGAGAACAAGCGCTGGGCACTCTGAGTTTCACAAGTCCAGGCATGGCCTGTGCACTGGCACCGCCTCCTCCTATTCCTGCTAAAAGGACCACCTCCCCCTGGGGCCGTCTTCACCAGAGTGTGGGGACATTTGCTTGAAACACTATAGTCATTTAGACACCCTCCTTGTCGCTCTTTCTTCTACAATGGCTGAATCTCTTTTGGAAAACGTGGCCGATGTATATAATTTTATGTACAGCTCGTTTTCACTGTTGGCCCTGTATTGTATTTAATTATCTCCTGAATAAAGTGATACTGGCGTGTCTTAAAAAAGCAAAATAAGGAAAACAAAAACGTCTCAACATTAATATTTTAGGGAGGGGCACCTTTTTATTCAATGTGATCTCTAATTTTTGGAAGAGTTGTTAAGATTAGTACAAGGAACTCATGAAGGTCTTTTTAACCAGACTCTTCATTTATATACGTTTCCCCCCATTTACTTTATGTTCTCCCTCTCCCATATGTACGCATCTTATTGTTTCTGAGCCATTTAAGGGCAAATTGGTGATATTGTGTCCCTTTACCCCCAAATACTTCAGTGTTAATTTCCTAAGAGCAAGGACATTCTCCTATTTTTTTTGGGGGGGGTGATGAAATAAATGACATTTAATGACAGCATTTTTATCCTTCCCTTTAGAAATGTGGATTTCCATCACAATTACAATGATCGTGATGTTGCAACAAATTTTTAAGAAAACCCTGTTGCACTTGCATGCAACCAGAGGAAGATCTGAAATCAACCTGGAAACAGAAGTTCCTTCTAACTGTCCATGTTCTCTGCTGCCTTTGTGTGTGTGTAGTAACACATCTATGTCCTTTTAAACACCAAGAAGCAACATCTTAGGGGGTGTAGTAGAAATAAAAGCAAACATCTTTCCTTTAAAATTTTTTTAAGAACCTAAGACAATTCTTTCTTTCCATTTTTTAAAGACTTTATTTATTTATTTTTAGAGAGGGAAGGGAGGGAGAAAGAGAGAGAAAAACATCAATATGCGGTTGCTGGGGGCCGTGGCCTGCAACCCAGGCATGTACCCTGACTGGGAATCAAACCTGCGACACTTTGGTTTACAGCCTGCACTCAATCCACTAAGCTACGCCAGCCAGGTTAAATTTTTTTTCAATTACAGAAAAACAAAATCTTTCATAAAACTATTTCCATGGAGGCCAGAGCCTGATCTGCCCAACTGGATAATCCACCACCATGTTTTCATTTAAATTCACTCATTCATCCCAGCAGCAATTCTGGGAATGATTCTCTTTCTGTGGCTGAGGAAACCGAGGCTCAGAGAGACCAGGTGACTTATCAGACTCATGTGACCTCAGAAATTGGATTCAAACCACAGTGTCTGATAAAAAGTCCCCTTTAGGACATGGGGTCAGCTGCTATAAGAATGCATGCTGGGGGAGAGGGTGTGGTGTGAGAGGTGTGTGTGGCGTGTCCTACCACCTGGACAGTGAGGAACACTAGAAAAGAGGCAGGGGGCCTGGGGGAAAGCCCAGTACGCTGTGAGTGTGGATCCACACTCACAGTTACATGGCCAGATCAGACCTACTGAACCCTCCTCCAAATCCACATTCTGGGAACCTTCCTTATTTAGTCAATGACTCCCCCTTCCTTCTCCTGGGTGCTCAAGCTAAATCACCTTTGACAGCAGGAGTCATCCTTAAAGCCACTCCTCCCTTTACCCTCTGGGGCCACCAGCACCACTTGATACAATCTCCACTATCTACCCCAAATCCAGTCATTTTTTTCAATCTCCCCTGCACTGTCCTCAGTCTTCCAGATCACGTACCAGCCTCCTCCCCATCCACCTCCCTACTTGGGTCAGTTTTAAATATCTGAGTCAGATCATGGTTCAAATGGTGACATCAAAAGCCCAAAGTCGCCAAAGCTTACTAGACCCTGCAAGATCTGCGCCCCCACCTCTTGCAGTTACTTCTCCTCTCCTCACTCCCTCTGCTCTGGCCACGCTGGCCTCCAGGCTGTCCTTCCCACGTGCCAAGCTGGATCCTGACCTGGGTCAGGATGAATCACTCCTGTCTCCATTTTATCTTCTTGCCAGATTTATCCATATCTGACATTGTCTTATTTGTTTATATTTATTGTGTGACACTTCCCAACCAGCCTGTAAGCCTTGGGCCTCCCTGTCTGAATTTATAGTTGGGTGTATGCCACATAGCAGGCACTCAGTCAAGATCAGGCTGCATGGCTGACTTGCTTTGCACAAATCCCTCTCTTCTGTGGACTCAGTCCTCTCCTATGAAATGGGACCCTAACTCTCCTTGCCCTGACTCCTCCTGGAGTGCCCATGAAGCTCAAATGAGGTGTGAATATGACTAACTTTTTTTTTTTTGCAAATTATAAAATTCTGTGCCCTGGGGAGACAACATGCTAATTTTTCTTTCCCAGTTTCCCTGGCATTCAACGCCCTTTCCCAATAATAGGACTGAGACAACTTAGGTATTTAGACCCTCTCTTTTTTTCTTCTTGGAGTTAGGTGGTCTACTGTCTGCAGAAATGTCTTCTGTGTCACAGTAAACCCAATCTTTTGGTATCTTAACTAGGCCTTCCAGGCATTCCTTGGTGGCGCAGAGACATTCTTTGCCATATAACAGGTCTTGGCTTATGATAAGAAAAAAGAGGCCCAGCAGCCCTCCCACAGGCCCACTAGCTCATATGTTTTTTTTTCCCCTCTAAAGACATACCTCTTCTCCCTGCACCAAACTGATAGGAAGCCCATTTTCGATGTTTGTGCCAGAGGCCAAGGAGTTCCTGCTGCTCATTCCATGAGTCTCCAAGGGTTGCTGAGCGCATTTCACTTCCGTAACTTCTTAGCCTTTCTCCAGGTTCCTAGGTTGAACAAAAGCAAGTAAGTTTAGAAATGTTTGCAGCTTCCAGAGAATTTGACATTTACTCATTTGCAAATACCTGGTAAGAGATGAAGGGAGAAAACTGTGGCTTTACTTGGAGAGCAGGAGCCCAGGAGGCAGGAAACCTGTGCTCACTCATTCACTCATCAAACTTGTATGGAACTCCTCCTGCAGGCACTGGAAATGCCTTGGCTGGAAATACAGCTTGAACAAGATAGACAGGTGTTTTCTGCCCTCCCTCGTGAAACAGTTGATTGTGTGTGGACATACCAAGAAAAAAAAAAACAAGAAAACAAAGATGTATGTAAAGAATAATGCAAAATGATTTGAAGAGCTATACGTGCCACAAAGACAGTGAAATAGGAGTGATAGAAAGGGTAGACTTGAGGAGGGGTGGTCAGGAAAAGTCTCTCCAGAAAGTGACCTTTGGGGAGAGAACTGAATGGTGAGAAGCTGGCCATGAAAAGATCTGGGCAAAGAATGTCCAGGAACGTGCTTAATGTGTTAGAGGAACAGCAAAGAGATGCGAGGTTAGAGTGATGTGAGGGAGGAGGGGAGAGAGTAGGGAGATGCCGGGAAAGGCAGGCAGGAGCCAGCTACAGGGGCTTGAAGGCCATCATGCCATCATTCATTTGTTCTTTCATTCATTCAACACGTATTTGTTGAGCATCTGTGTGCTAAGACATACTGAGACCCGACCTTCACAGTTTAATACATGGAGACACACATAAGCAGGTAAACAAACTAATGTATGAGTATAAAACACCAGGTATCACAAATATTAGGAGGAAGTGCGGTTTTCCAATAGTTCAGTGCCCCTTTAAGGGTAGAGGAAGTTGAGGCCTGGTAACAGAATGGGGCTTCTCCTTCCGCCCCGGATGCAATAAGTACCTAAGAACCCAGGCAGCCAGGGACCTGATTGCCTTTCCCTCCTCTGCTCTCCCTCCCTTCCCCTCTAGATGACTGACAAAGGCTGACCGCGGTGGAAGGAAGGGCTAGTCTGAGGGTCCAGAGCCGGGTAGCTGACCGGCAGAAGCACGGTAGAGCCCAGGTGATACTGCAGCTGGGGGTGGAGGTAAAGGGGAGACTTGGCTGCTGTGTGACTCCAGTGAGAACGCTTACCCCCTCTGGGCCACCACCTCCAGAGAGATGGGCATGTGTCCAGGATCGAGGGTGGGGGCCAGAGAAGAGGGGCCCCAGAGTGGGTCTCCACTAGCAGGAGACGTCTGCGAGCTCTCCTCACTAAGTCTTGGTATCCCGGTGGGTGATTTAACAGGCCCTGGGACGAGAGGCGGGGCCTGTGGAGGAGGGGCGGAGGGGAGGCTCCGAAGTGATTTCAAATTTCCCTCATCCCCTCCCCTCGCTCCCCCCGGCCAGAGGCCGGGCTGTGAGTGGCTGCGGCGGGGGCGCCCTCGGGGCGGGGGCGGGGCGAATGCCGGGCTGGGGCTACAAGTGGACTCGGCACCGCCCCCTGCCCACCCTCTACTTCTGCCGTGTCCGGCCCGCGCTGCTTCCTCGCAGCAGCTGCCCCCCGGCCGCAGCCCGCGTGGACGCTCCGAGCGTCCCCGACCAACGCTACCGGCCCGCTGGCAGGCCGACGAAGGAGCGGCCGCGCCCGGCCGGCAGCGCGGGGGTTAAGTGGCCCAAGTAAACGCAGCTCGGCGATCGGCGCCGGAGATTCGCGAGCCGAGCGCTCTGCACGGCAGCCCGCCGGCCTCGCGCCAGCCTGTCCGGACCCGCGGCTCAACCGCGGAGCCGCGCTCGAGTCAGGCTCTCGGCAGGTGAGCACCCGGTGGTCCGGAGGAAGCTCGCGCGTCCCGGGACTCCGGGGACTGGTGGGGGAGGGGACAGCAGAACGGGGCCGGGACTGTGCAGAGGGACCCTGTCCCGGCTACCTCCTGGGGAGGCGGCTCCCATTCGGCTGGAGACCGGGCTTGTTAGGGGAGGTGAGGTCGGTCCCCTGACCCTAATTGGGGGAAGCGGACAAGAGGGATACAGTTGGAGGGGGGCGAGGGAATGTGTCTTCTTTCAGGGATTCAAGTGGAAAGCCTACTCTTGTATTGCAAGAATACGATGAGGAGAGACGTTCAGCCCAAGGGAGGGAGACCGGGCGTCCTTCCTGGGGTCTAGAGTCAAGGGGAGGAGATGTCCCTCTGGAGAGAAGGGGACCTCATGGGAGGGGGTATACTTACCTGGCCTCGACTTGAGAGGGAGCCTCCTTGGGGAGGGGGGCGGAATAGAAGAGGGACTTCTGCCAAGAAGGTGGGCATCCGGCATCCATTCCTCCTGACTTGGACCTGCGAGTTCAGCTGAGAGAACTTAGTTTTATTTACTACCAGGGATGGAAAAGAAACAGTGGCGTGAGTGCGGGTGAGCAGGTGGGTCGAGGGGTGTGCGCGGGTCGGGGGCGTAAGCCAGAGGGGCAGACTCCCGGGGTCCTCCCTAGATAAGCCACCGAGGGCGAGGCGCAGCGGGGCTGTCTGGGATGCCCTCCGGAGGAGCTTCGCTCTCGCAGTGCACACCTGGCCGGGAGGAGCCGGCCCGAGGGCGGCGTCTCCTCGCTCTGCGACTCTACCTGCCCTGGGGCTCACTTTCCATTTTTTTTCCCCTCTTCCGGGGTGAGGCTGGTCCCACTTCCCAAACTTGCAAGTTGAGGCCTCAAAACTGCTAGTTAGCACCACCTCCTAGAAGACCGGCTTCCTTGCCCGTGTGTTTGGCGAGGGAGGGTGGATGTGGAGTCTCACTTCGCAGGCGAGAAAGTGGAACACAGAGGGCGGACATAGCAAGTTAGCAACAAGAACCTACTCTTGGGCCCGGCTTTTTCCTCCTGGGATCACTCACCTGTGGCTGGGAAAGACTGCAGAAGTTCTGCGCCCAGCCCAAGGCCCTGTGCTTCCCGCCTGCCTCCTTCCCAACCCTGGGCAGAGAGAGGAGAGGCTTCCTCCTCCCCCACCTGCTTCCCCACCTCCACTCCCCCACCCCAAGCCAAGAACTGCATGAATTAAACAGAATTAAAGAGAATATAAACTTTGAGCCACCTCCTGATTTTTGGATGTGGATTTTGGCCAACTGGTGGCAATTATTTTGGGGAGACAAATCCTTCTGGGGCTCTCACCTAAAGAGCCCAGGAGGTTTACCTGCCTCTGCCCTCCAGGAGGCCTGCCTTGCTTCTTTCCTAGAAGCCATTGAACTCCCCAGGTGCAGACCTGATTTTTTCCAGAGTTGAGATGATGATGCCTATTTTATAGGAACGGCACACAGTAATCCCTCAATAGAAGTTTGCCACTCTTGGCATTACCTAGGACCTGGGCTAAGCAGGTTGCCCTTTTCAGGGGGATGCACGAATCTTTGGATAGTGTTTAAGTCTATCCCAGTAAGTGCATTGCTTTCTATGTCTTAGTTATTACATCTGTGAAATGGGAATATACAAACAACCCCAGGTTGTGTAAGAATGAAACCAGTTTATGGGAGTTTGACCTCTGACCTTCAATGTTCTTCAGATATCAAATGGGTATGATGACCCCTAACACATACCACATTAGGCTGGGGTGGGGACTCAACTGGATAGTGCTTGACACAGCAGGTGGTGAATGTTGACATCTGTATTAATTAACCAATAGCCCCTCTGTTTAGGGTAGCTGTTAATAAGAGTTGGGGATGAAGGGAGGCACACCCCTGCTGGCTCCTCTTGCCTGCCTTCCTGCACCAAGGTACTGTTCCTATCAGCTATGAAAACTTTTCCAAATAATTGTCCTTGATTTGGGAGTTGGCAGAAAAAAAAGTGCCTTTGTCCCTTTTTGAAAGAAGCTGTGGTTTTCTTTTATGGGTAGGGGCCATTTTTACCCCTCCCCCCCAAGCTTGGGTCCTACCTTGAATCCTTAATTTCAGAGCTAAGCAAGATACTGTACCTTTCCCCTTTGGGGTGGAGAGGGCTGAGACAAAGGGGCCAGGTCTGGGGCTGGCTGCATCCTGTTCCTTAAAGCCATAGGCATAACCCCCGACCCCTTGCAAATGTTGGAAGGTGGGGGGAAGCATCTGGGAGCTGCAGGGGGCTAAGGGGAGGAGCTAGGGAGGTGAGGTTGGGGGAGGGTGCTTTCCTTTCTTCCCTTCCTCCTGCCACGTGGGGCCTATGACCCAGAAGAGTCCGCAGCCCCTCATTATTGCAGCCTGAGGGACCTGCTTCCTATGGTGGGGTTTGGGCAAGGTCTTCCAGGAACACTTAGCTTTAGGTTGAATCCTTTGTCGCAGACCAGCTCTCATGCCAGCTGTCTGGCCTCCAGGCTCAGGCACCTTTTCCAATTTCACCTGAAAGGATCCTTGGGTCCTACCCTTTGGCAAGTGCCCCCTCCCCCAGTCCTTGATAGGTACGGAACCTCAGGGACCTCAGCTCGGGCATGTCCTTGTGTTGAGCAAGTCGTTAAAAATCACTAATTCAGAATGAAGTGATTTTTCAGTTTCTTGGTGGATCAGGGCCAAGGAATACAGAATACCTCCTTTTCCTTGCAGTTTACCATCTTTGTGAAGTGATGGATGGACTTGTTTCTCTTCTTATGGGGGGGTGGCTGTTCTCACTGGGCCCGTTTTGCAGCTGATGAAACTGAGGTTCTGGGATATCCAGTTGCTTCCACACCTCAGTGGTTTTTTCCAGAACGCTTTCACATCACATCTGCCACTATCACAGGGCAGAGTTCGGCATTCCAGGCACTCCAGCTGGGAGAAAGCCCAGCGCAGGTGTTCAGATGTGCCTGGCCATAGGTTGGAGGAAGTGGCCTGGTAAATGGCAGAGGAGGCCTGTATCTGGGGTTGCTGTATCCTGCTCCTTTAAAGCCATAAACCGAACCGTCACCCCTTTTTTTATTTTTTGTTCCCTTCTGTGAAATGGGTACAAGGACACACCTACCTAGTAGAGTTGCTAGGAGGACCAATTGGAAGTCAGGGGCCTTTTCACTTCACAAGGCTTAGTTGCTAAGTTAGGTGAGGGGCCCTGAATATTGTAAAATTCTGTTATTTGTTGGGTTATGTCATTTGAGGCAATAGATGTAAAGGGGATTTGGGCTATGGAATCAAATGTGAATGTGTATTCCTATTTGCTCCATTTATACACTAGTTACCTGAGCCTCAGTGGTTCAGTCTGTAAAGTAGGGATGCATTCATTGTTGGCCAATCCCAGGGAATATTGAAGTTTTGGGTTTTTTTTATAAAAGATTTTTATTTATTTTTACAGAGAGGGAAGGCAGGAAGAAAAAACTTCTTATCCGTTGCCTCTCGTCCGCCCACACCCATCCGCCCACACCCGGGGCGACCCAGTCACGTGCTCTTATCGGGACTTGAACAGGTGACCTATTGGTTCACAGGCTGGCACTCAGACCACTGAGCCACACCAGCCAGGGCTGAAGGTTTTTGTTTTTTTTTTTTTAAATTAAATTTTTATTTTATTTGTAGAGAGAGGGGAAGGGAGAGAGAAAGAGAAGGAGGGAAACATCGAACTGGGGACTGAACCCGCAACCCAGGAATTGAACTGGCGACTTTATGGGACTAAGCCCAACCGAGCCATACCTGTCAGGGCAGATGTTGAAGTTTAAATAAATTGAGTTGTTATGGATTAAAACATGTGCATGTTGAAGGTTCAATAAATGTTGCAGTTTACGTAGTAAACATTCAAATGTTGATAAAGTGGTTATGATTTACTTACTAAAAGAAATGCAGTCCTGGTTAGCATTCCTGCGTTTTTCCAGGGAATAAGCAAAGACTTGGGAGACTGTTTTGTGTAGTAGGGAATTTGAATATTAAAAAAAAAAAAAAAAGCCCTGGCTGGATTGGCTCAGTGGATTGAGTGCCGGCCTTCAAACCGGAAGCTCGCCCTGTTTGAATCCTGGTCAGGGCACATGCCTGGGTTGGTGCCTGGGTCCCCCGGTTGGGGGCGTGCGAGAGGCAACCAATTAACATCTCTCACACCGATGTTTCCCTCCCTCTCTCCCTCCCTTCTCGTCTCTCTAAAAGTAAGTAAGTAAAATCTTTTTTTTAAAAATGACATTCACTCTATGTGATACAAATGAAAATAAGCTTTACCTTCTTATGATGTTAAGAAGAAACTAATCATCACCTGTAAACTCAGTCCCAAGGTTACCCTTATTTTACTTTTATTTTGAGTCTTCGATTTCTTCTAGGAATATAGAAAAACGTAGTCAAGACTAGGAGTCCTACCTACGCAAAGGGACAGGAACCCCAGGAAAGGACAGAATCCTGAGGAAAGGTGAAATCTTAGGTTTAGAGGGCACTGCTGTCACCATGGGCCTGGCTCCACAAGCAGATGGAGGACCGTTCTGGGTAACAGTGGGAAGAGATTCTTTGGAATCTGCAGTCACTGGCTTCTGCTCTTGTTCTTTGACCAGTTTGCCTGATCAAGTTGGTTAAGTCACTTCATCTGCAGAGATTTTCTTTCTTCTTTTCTTCGTTTCTCCTTCCTTCCTTCCTTCCTTCCTTCCTTCCTTCCTTCCTTTTTTCCTTCTTTCCTTCCTTCCTTCCTTCCTTCCTTCCTTCCTTCTCATTCATTCATTCATTCATTCATTCATTGTGGTCTGTGGCCTCTGCCCTCAATCAACCCCCGCCTGCTCCCCTCCCCGCAGCTCCCCTGCTTTTTAGTTTTGCACTTCGAAGGTTGAACTTAAATTTTCTAGAAAATTGTCTTTTACGGTCTGAAATTTGTGGGAAAGCAGTAGCCATTGCAAACATTATGAACAGGAAATTAGAAATGCACTTCCAAAAATGACAGAGTGAATGG